TTTTTTATTTTTTATTTTTTTTTAAATTTTATTTATTTGTGTGTGTGTGTGTGTGTGGCCATCTCAGCCCACCAGGGGGCGGGGCTGGCTGGCATGTGGTGCTGGGGGATCGAACCGTGGTCCCTGTGCTTTGCTGAACTTGTTCCAAGTAGGTGCTTTAGACCACTGAGCCATCTCACCAGCCCCTGGAGCTTCTTTTAAAAAATAAAAAAATAATTCAATAAATAAGGAACTGGGCGTGTAGTAGCTCAGTGGCAGAGTGCCTGCCTAGCATGTACAAGGTCCTGGTTCAATCCCTAGCACCACAGTTAAGTAAAAACGCTTATTAAAAGGAAATTTAAAGGGGAAAGAATTGCTCCACAGCCACCCATTGTTAGTGTTTTTCTCTGCGCGTCTGTCTTCTCACGTCATCGCCCGTAGGTGGAGGCACTGAGTGTTCGTGCAAGTCTAGAGCATGGAGGTCGTCAAGACTAGCTCTGTGTCCTCGCTGCCCAGAGAGCGGCTGTCAGTGGTTCTCTGTGTTCTCCTCCAGATTGTGCTTTTTCTGCAGTTACTTTAATTGGGGTCATGCCAGCTGTTCTGGGCGCTCTTCCTAGGTGCCTCCTCAGGTGGGTCAGGGAGGCAGTGTCGCTGCCACTTGGTAATGCTGTTAGGACGCAGGTGCAGCACACTCTACTACGAAGCCTGTGCTTGTTCTCTCGCGGCTGCTCGCAGGAAGCAGTGAAAGCCAGGCGGTGCGCGGGCAGTGCCCTGAACCTGCGCCTGGTGCCTGGGCTGACGTGTGGCCGTGCGGCCGCGAGCAGGTGTTTCAGGCCTCGGAGCTTGCCTCCCTGGGCTGCGGGATGGGAGTGGTCGCGACGCCCCTGCACCCCGGGCGCTCACAGCGCTCGAGGTGGTGGTGCTTTCCTCACTCTGCAGACTGATACACATGCTGTTGGTCTCTCACCCCCACTGTGCCACAGGCGCAGTGCTGCCAGTTGCGAGCTGAGGGCGAGGAGTCCTGCGTGTGCGTGTGCTCGGTGCTGTCAGGCATGTGACGAGCACTGCCAAGTATTCTTGTGCCTTTTGCACGGCACCTGGAAGATAATTTCCAGAAGTGAAAACGCTGTATAAGTTTATTGATACGTTATTATTAAGACACATGGTATATTGACTTTTATTTTGGAAGTGTTATTTATCCTGGCACACATAAAGCAGTTTTATATCCGTCAAGTTAGGAAATTCTTAAAGCACCCATTCCAAGGTTAAGATTTGAATGGTTTTTCTGTTCTGGACTTAGAGCCTCTGTCTTGCTCAAGCTTAAGGGCAGACACTTAGTGTTTAGCTGAATTTTATCTTGGGACTATCCAAGCTTGTGGTGGTGGTGGAGAGGTGGGAGGACTTGGACCCTAATGTCAGAGTTTGCAAAATACTGATCAGGATCCTCTACGGTCTGTGTATTCAGACTTGGGGAAAGTTTTGCAGGTGCTGTGGTATGTTGGTGTCTTGTTACTTCCCACTGGTGGCATCTCTTCAGAAACAGTTTTCCTCAGAAATTAGACGTGAAGATCCTGTAAAGTATTTCTTTGTTAACTAAATGAGCATCATGTTCTGTTGGTTAATAGTTTAATGTCAGTTAATTTTATGTATCATAAATAAATTTTTGTGAAAACATGGCAAAAAAGATGAGGTGCTCTTTTGTTTATATCAGCATTCCATTTTAGACTTCTCCAGTTGCAAGCGCTGGAATACAGATGACTGTGAAAACAAAAGGACATTCCTTGAGTAGCAGCGTCCGGGTCGTGCGCTGGAGCCCGGAGCTGAAGAGCCACACGGAGCCCCAGCAGCGCCGAGGGCCTCGGTTCTAGGAGACCGCAGGCCCTCCCTCTCGGCACGTCTCACTGTCCAGGCCTGGTCCCTGGTCACTGTTTGGCCAGCATGTGTGGTCTCTTGAGAGTCCCACCAGGCTGACTGAGAGGAGGGTGAGATTCTGGAAGTCATACGTTTAGGCAATGATTGAACAGCTTTCTTATCTAAATCTTTTTTTCCCTTATCTAACTCTTAGGAAAACGCAGGCCACTTCAGCTTATATATAGATTCATGCGATGACTTTTCTGCAGTGGAAACAGAGCAGTACTGCACTGCCGCAGGCATTACTTGCTGCCTCTGCCCTCACGACCCGCGGCCCTCCTGGCGTGTCCAGCGCCTAACTGCCGTTTTGACTCCAGCCCTACAGTTCTGTTGCTTTAGAATACCAAGGTAGCTAGGAGAGGGCTCAGCAGTCTAAGCACCTGCCTGGCAAGCTCAGGGTCCTAAGTTCAGTCGCTGGTCCCAGGTACATTCACGTGCCTCAAAAGCAGCACTTGCTCCAGCCACTGTGGTTCCCTTCAGACACACTAATGGAAGTACTCTTCCCACTTCTAGAAGCCTTCCTTTGTGTAACAGAAGGCTTAGATCCACCAACTGTAATACCATTAATAGAATTGCAAAATAAAGTATTTAGCAAGGGATTTTGAGTGCGGGGAGATGGCTCAGTAGAATAAGCGCTTCCCTGGCAAACGCAAGGGCCTGAGTTCAATCCCTGGTTCTGCCAAAAGGCGGCGGCGGGGGGGGGGGGGGGGGGGGGGGCGCTGATGATCTAATTAACATGTAATATACGTCAAGTTTATTTGTATCATACTTATGCTGTGAATATATGCTCTTTTATAACCATATATTATTTATTTATTTATTTATTTATTTATTTATTTATTTATTTTGCGGAACCAGGGATTGAACTCAGGCCCTTGCACTTGCCAGGGAAGCGCTTATTCCACTGAGCCAACTCCCTGGCCCCCTATTTATTTGTTTAAAAACATGGCCTTGGGGTTTTCTATAGTTGTCATCAATGTGGAAAGCCATTTTAATAAAGCTCATTAAGGAAATTGAAGTTTCTATCAAACCCTACACAAATTATCATAGTGATTGCTGTACTCTCTAATAAGTTCTCAAGACTATGCTGACGTTTGTCCTTACGGAAGACCTTCAGGAAAACTGTATTCAGGGACTCCATGGGTATGGGTCGCCTTCCTAGACCAGTTCACCAAGATGTGTGTTGAAGGTGGCCAGAGTGGTCAGCTGTCCATGGTGGAAGGTGAAGAGTCTGATGAGTGAGGGGGCTGAGCAGCAGGAATCGTGCTACGACTGGACTCTCCAGGCCAAGCCAGATCTCAGGGGTGAGGCCATCAGAAGAGGGCCTCGTGAAACCTTGAGTTTGGTTAAGAAGAGAGCAGAGAATCTTCCTCACAGGGTTGTTTCCACCCTTTATGGGTGTGCAAGGAAATTGGTAATACTGAACTTTGGCCTTTAGAGGAAAGAAGTATTCTTCAAATTGAGACCATACTGAGGCGCAGCTTTCTCCCTCTTCTGCTAGCAGAGGTCTAGATGTTTGACACCGTACCCTGAGGGGGACTGTCTGAGGAGCTAAAGGATAAGGGGACAGAGTTTAGCAGAGGCATAAGTGCATTTACTTCCTGGTGGTGATTAACTGCCACCTTCCAACCTGAAGATATTCTGGCAAATGCGATATGACCATGCATGAAGACCTTGAAAAGTCTGCAAACAATTCAGATATTAATGGGCTGTTGAGGTGGTCTGGGTCAATAAAGTCCCATTGCTGTGGAGTGACCTCCCAAAGTAAATACCTTCACACAGCTGGGCACAGTGCACACATCTGTAATCTCAACACTGAGGGAAGCTGAGGAAGGAGGACTTCGAGTTTGAGCCTTCCCAGGGTACCTTAGTGGGACCCAGAATACAAAGCCTATGGCTGTACCTCTGGGACCTGGATCCAGTGCCTTCTGCTGCCGGGAAGGGGCAGCCATGCAGAATGAAGTGGCCTCCCCGATGGTCTGGTTGGTGAGCAGTGACTTCTCAGAGCGCCGTGTTGGGCACGGTGGTGTGCGCCTGTGTGGTTTCTCTCAGAAAACGTACTTCCTCCTACTCTCCACTAAAAAGTGTAGGCACAAACCAAAGTTGAAGCAGTGGACGTTCATTTCTAAATGTTACTCTGACTAAAATAACTAGGGCTTCTTGGAGAAGTGATTGATTTCTTGTTTGGTGCAAGAGGTGTACAAGAGAGGAGGTCAGCTTTCATAACAGAAGCCAAAGACACTTGTGCGGAGCGTATCTCGGAGCCGTGGGAGGACCTGTGGTATCTCTAGGGCAAGAAACTTGTGTCAGCACGAAGAATGACAGCGCTGGGGCCGCCAGTGTAAGCAGGAAGCACACAGCGCCAGCTGAGCTTCAGGGGGCGCGCAGGGGTGTGCCGCTGCAGTCGCGGAGCCCGGGGAGAAGCCTGCGCAGCAGGGCCAGGGTTCCTCCTCTGCTGAGAACAGTAGACCTCAGGGCCTTGTAGGAACGTACCAGCTAACGGCGGTCAGTTGCCATGTTTTACGATGCATGTCAGAGACAGCATGACATGCGTACTGAAATAAGTGTAGGCTTTTAATCAGGTAAGTCGGGGAAGGAGTGCAGATTATCTGAGTCCGTCACCGTGAGCGGTTGGCTGTAGAGTCCTTACACTTGCTAATTTTGCGTGCTTGAAATCTTCTAGAAGTTGTTTAACATAAAAGTGTGACCATGTTTTTGTTATTTCCTAGATTGCCCCAGTGGAGAATGACAACAGCTATGATGAACTGAAAAGAGACGCAAAGCTGTGTTTATCACTGATGTCTCAGGGGTTGCTTTATCCTCAGCAAGTGCCTTTAGTGCTTAAGGTGCTAAACCAAGTAAGAGGGTTTCGCTACAATATTAACGTCCTTTCATTAGGCTTCTGGTTGAGTGTTTTAAGAATGTCAGTCTACTGTCCCACTCACAGATTCTGGTTTTTATTTTGAGTTTTTGTGTCATATAAGATACACATACTGACCGACAGAACAGACCTAGATCGTGTACCTAACCCTGTACCAGCTTCCTGTTAGCTGGCCAAGTCACCAACGAAAACATACTGCCAACTGTATAAGCAGAGAGTTGATTATTGAGGCATCGGGGGTACAAAGCACTCATGAGGAGTTTGTTGTGCCCCCCACCCCCCTTTTTCTTTTCTTCAATGTGTGTATTTGGTACAGGGTCTAACTACGCAGCTCAGATTTGTAGTGATCCTCCTGTTTCAGCTCTACCTGTACTGGGATTGCAGGTGTACACCGCGCTCCATGACGGGTTCCCATGGCTGGCACAGCGCCCCAGTGTGCGGTGTCGGGGATCGAATCCAGGGCCTTGAGCTTGCCTCCCAGACCATGGAGCTGTCTCCCCAGCCCCTGTTGGTACATTTTAGATACACACAGTGACCACATTCATCTGAGGAAATGACACCTGTACACGCTCCCCCGCTTCAGCCCCTTTTCCTCTGTCTACAGAATCTTGGTCCCCACTTCCTTCTGTCCTTTGCTCTTCCTTCCCCCATATCCCATACTCCCCCTCGACTGAACACTTCCTTCCTAGTTTCTGGTAGCTGTTACACATGTTGGTCCTTAGTCACCCTTTTAGTTTCTCATATTCACACATGTCTTATTTATTTTGACAACTTTGGTCTCAAGGCACATCTATTTAGCTAGAAATGTGATACATTTATCTGTCTTTATGGCTGAGTAGTACTCACTTGCATTAAAAAAAAAAAAACCCACATGTTTTTTATCCATTCATTGGTCAACGGGCATTTGGTTGTTTCCAAGATAATAGTGATGACAAATTGTGCTGCTCTAAACATGGGTACACATATATCACTCCATTATGATGTTTTTAGTGCTTCTGGAAAGATACCTAGAAGGAGAACAGTTGGGTTAAATGGGACCTCTACTCCTAGCTTTTTGAGGAATGTGCACACTGATTTCCGCAGTGGTTGCGCCAGTCTACACTTGCATTGACAGTGGAGAAGCATTCCTTTTCTTGCCCCTGGTTGAGGGGATGGAACTTGGAACCTTGCACTTCCTGACAGGAGCTTTTGCTGCCGAGCTGTACCCCAGCATCGCCAGCATTATTTTTTTTTAAATGTATTTGGTACAGCGTTGCACTATGCAGCTTGGACTCATAGTGATCCTTCTGTTCTCAGCCTCTCCAGAGCTGGGATTTCAGGCGTGCGCCCCCACGCCTAGTCTCGAGGCTGGCTTAGCATGCCCGGGGGCGGAGCCACAGCCCTTGAGCTTGCTTAGGCAGGCATTTACCCTGCTAAACTATCTCCACGGTCCCAGCATGTGTTACTGATTTTTTCTTTTTTGTGTGTGCAGAACCGGGGTTTGAACTCAGGCCCTTGTACTTGCCAGGCAAGTGCTTATTCTACTGAGCCATTTCCCGGCCTCTGTGTTACTGATTGTTGATGATAGTCTTTCCTTTTGGGAAGAGTGCGATCTCAGTGTTTTCTTATTTTGCACCTCTTGAATGACTAGTGGTGTCGAATTTTTTTATGTATTTTCCATTGGTATTTTTTCCTCTGAGAATTGTGTATTTATATCAGATGCCCATTTTTGAATTTGGCTTTTGAATTTTTTTTCTCCCCTTTGGTCTTTGAATTTAGAGAGTCTGCCTTTTAAAAATTCTTTGTATGTTCCAGATCCTAAGTCTTTTTATCAAGGGGCAACTAGTTAAAAATTCTTCTCTGGGTTGTCTTTTCACTCTTGGCAATTTTCTCTTCTCTTCCCCTCCCCCTCCCTCCTTCCCCTCCCCCTTCTCCCTTCTCCCTTCTCCTTTCTTCTCTCCTCTTCTCCCCACCCCTTCCCAGTCATTATACATTCTGAATTAGCTACCTGGAAAAGCTTGTTGGATCTTTTGTTTAGAAGAAATACATGACAACCCCAGTTACAATGGATAGGATTTCGTGTGTTGTGTCACATACCTGTTTGTAATGCCCTCACCTGTCATCCTGCCTTCTTCTTAGTGCTTCTGTTATTTTTCTCATTCTCAGACAGCAAGAAGTAGTTCTTGGCATGCAAGATACACAGTGCTGACCTACCTCCAGACCATGGTGTTTTATAACCTTTTTATTTTCCTGAACAATGACGATGCAGTTGGAGACATCAGGTGGCTGGTTATAAGCCTTTTGGAGGATGAACAACTAGAGGTAAAACTGAAGTAATGGCAAATTAGAGTTCAGCCCCTTTAAAGAAGCTATTATGGTTTCTCTTTCAGGAAGTGCTCATACATTCAGAAGATGTGTTTTATTAAAACACAAATTGATAAGCTTTAATAACAGCTCTGTGTGAGTAATGTTGGTAACTCTAACCATGTTGATAACTTTAATCATAACTAATAACTAATTCGTGACGTGCTCTCTCTCTCTCTCTGCATTTAGGCAAATAACATTTCTGAATCTTAGCTCTCTTAGCTACAGAATTGGAGTCCACAGTTAGTTACCTCACTTACAGGTTCTTAAGGGACTGCTGGGAGAGTACATGAAGACTTTGCGGAGAACAGAACTCTATGCAGATCCTATTTTCCAGCAGACTTAAGACAGGATTGCTGTCTTTTTAAAAAAATTACATAAAGTGCAGCTTTCATGGTATAAACTGATGTTAATATTTTGTACAAGAAGGTAATCTTTTGGTTCAAGTAGCCTAATGTAAAGCAGGTGAACAGTAAATGTGCAATAAAATACAGCTTTTTCAATTGCAGAAGAATACTTCCTTTTGCGGTGCTAGGGTATTCCAGGGCCTCCACGCTGAGCTACAGCCTAAGCCCTCTTTTATTATTTTCGGTATTTTGGGACAAGGTCTTGTTAGTGTTTTCAGGATAGGCTTGAGTTTGCAGTCTTCCTGGAGTGCTAGGATTATAGACACACACCACCACAGCCTGCTGTCTGTTTTTTTTTTTTTTTGCTATCCTGGAGGTCTACCCCAGAGGTGCTCTACAACTGAACTACATCTTCAGCTCTTTCCTTTCCAGAGACAAGATCTCACTAAGCTGCCCAGGTTGGCTCCTCCTGCCTCGGCCTCCTTAGTAACTGAGGTTATGGGCACATGTCTCTGTACTCCGCTGTGTGCGTCATGTGTTTATTTCTGAGCACTGAAAATATACTTCCTGTGTACAGTGCTGGGGACAAGTTGACCACCTCCCTGGTGAGGCCGTGCAGCCTTTTGTGTTCTGGGGTGGACACTGTTCAGTCCAGGCGTCCCACAGATGAATTACCACCACTCTGACCAGCTAGAGGGGAAAAAAAAAAAGCCGAGCTAAGCTGAAGGGATGGAAGTCTGGAGACTGCGTCTCCTGAACTTCGGATCTCGGAGCCCGAGTTGGGGGTGATGCATTACCACAAGCACAGATGGGTTCTGGCTGATGGCTGTGGGAGTTCCAGTCCTGCCGGTTGATCGTGTTGCCCCAGTTAGGGCTGTGCAAGGCAGGAGCACCAGAGCACTGTAGGGGAGGGGATGGGCCTGCCGTGTGCTGTCCACCCCAGCCCCCGGCCTGAGCCCTGCCCCAGGCTCCCCCAACTCCCAGGAGTGCCACCTGGGACAGGAACCTTTTGTACACGGGCCTTTGGAGAGATTTAAAATGCAGATCATAGCAGAACACTTGCGTTAACATGTGCTGCTGTGTGCTTCTAATAGAACACTCTTGACAGATTTTTTTTTAATGCCTCCCACACCCCTCTTTTTTTTTGGTAGTACCAGGGATCGAACTTAGGACCTTCTGGTTGCCAGGCAGGCACTTAATGCCACTGTGCTATATCCTCAGTCCCAGATTATTTTTATATATTCTTTTTGCTAGGTTTATTAAACCTAGCCCTTAAATAAACATAATCCTGGCATTTGTAAAAACCATCTTATATTTGAGGCAGTATGTGACAGTATACTACGTAGGTGTAATAATTTAGTAAGTTTTATTATGCTGGGAGATCTTTTTTTACATTTTTTATTCATTTTAATGAGAAAAAAAGATAAAATAGCAATAAAACAATTTCAAAACAGGTTAGTAGGACAGTTACGATAATTAATACATTGCATATTGTTGCCTGTCTTTTGTAATAATATAAGTGACAATTGTCTTAACATTTATTTATCTAGTGTGTGTGTGTGTGTGTGTGTGTGTGTGTGTGGCCAGCTCAGCCCACCAGGGGGCGGGGCTGCCTGGCATGTGGTGCTTGGGGATCGAACCACGGTCCCTGTGCTTTGCCAAGCTTGTTCCAAGTAGGTGCTTTAGACCACTGAGCCATCTCGCCAGCCCGACAATTGTCTTAAAAGCCGATTTTAGCCTGTAATCCCAGCACTTGGGACTGAGGCAGGAGGACTGCTACAAATTTGACGCTAGCTTAGAAGCCATTATGAGGAAGCTAGATACTGTTTGTCCTTACCTTATAAAATTAATGCTAGTTACGTACATGTTGACCCCTAGAACAAAGTATCTCCGAAAAGCCTGCGAATTTGAGGCTAGACTGGGCTAGAAAGCTTTTATCAGTCTTGTCTTCAGAACTTGAATTCTCTTCCCTTTGAAACTGACTGCTTAAGCAGGCCCTGTGGCTCGGGCCAGTTGCCCCAGCTACTCTGGAAGCTGAGGAAGCAAGACCATGAATTCTCCACCAACCTAGTAGTCAGTCAGGCCTGGGACAGTGACACTGCTGGGCGCGGCTCAGGGGTGGCTCATCGCCACCAGGAGAAAGGCCACGGGTCCAGTCGCTAGAAGGAGAACGAGACCGAGAGGGCAGTGTTCTGTGCAAACTGGGTCGTTTAGGCCTTACTTGCCAGGTGCCAGGAGAAGAAACTGGGCTGCCTTTGTTGTCTGCTGCCAGCTGGAGCAGCTGTGTGGAAGCAGAGGCTTTCCGACCAGTGGAGTTCAGGGAAGGTCGTCCTTCGTGCAGGGCTCCAGCATTCATTTTGTAATTACAGCCATAATGAAAAACAGTGGTCAGTAGCAAGGAGGAGTAGGGGAGAAATTTCATTTTTGTGCAACACAGTTAAATGACCACCCCTGCAGTTCAGAGCGCCATAGTTTTTATCCATTTTGAGCTCACAGACCCTTGGAAAATGCAATGAAATGTATCAGGAAACTTCCGGCAAGCATTTGCGAACTTTGCATGCTGCTCCTGGAGCCGTGCCCACCCCACTTCCTGTAGTGTATTTCTCAGGCTTCGTCTCAGTTCTGATGGAGGCAATTGTATCCACAGGTTCGAGAAATGGCTGCAACCACCTTAAGTGGTCTCCTCCAGTGTAATTTTCTGACCATGGACAATCCTATGCAGATTCATTTTGAGCAACTTTGCAAAACAAAACTACCTAAGAAGAGAAAGAGGGACCCTGGCTCTGTGGGCGATACCATTCCTTCTGCAGGTAACATTGCTGGTAGAAGGACCTTTGAGTCCTTTTGGAGACGAAGCAGGCTTGCTGAGTACTTTGCGTGCTTTTTATATGTGCCCAGATCTTTGTCAGATAGTGTACTGGGAACAGTTGTACTTCGGAGTTTTACATTAGAAAGCAGGGCCTGGAATACAGCAGCTAAAACTGAGGTAGGTACAGAAGGACCCATACGTTGCTGCATGTAGCTATTCTGTGCCTACCCTCAAGAGCTTTCTAAAGACGTCCAGATTAGTTATTTTGGAGGTCTGAAATACATGTCTTTAGAACTGTGTCTCGGGTCATTAAGGAAAACCGACAGAAGCCTTGCTTTAATGGCAGGATGAGGTCTGGGGAGTCCTTGTGTGAGCAGAAAAGAAGGCACTGAGAACACCGGCGGCCGTGGCAGCCCCGCATTGCGTGTGCGGCCCGGCGTGGTCCGGATGTTGTTTCTGGCTAGTCACTGAATGAGAGAGCAACCATTGTAGCAGCAGCCCAGGGTGGAGAAGCGCGTAGATAGGGTCAAGGCTTGACTGCTTGCCCTGTTCTGTGTGCAGCGAAATTTAATGTGGCTAAGAAGACGCGCGTCCGCGTGCCACTGCGGGCCACACTCCTGAGAATACCTTTGGGGCTGTGTAGGCAGCCCAGCTTTGTGCGCATCTGCGATCCCAGTGCTTGGGAGGCCGAGGCAGGAGGAGTACAGCAGATTCAAGGCCAGCCTGGGCTGTACAGCGTGACTCGGGAAAATTAGCAAGTACAAAGTGTGTTGCGTTCACGGAAGTACTTGAGCTCCGTAGCGCTGGAGCGGCAGGCACGCGTCTTGCTAATAGCCATTCCAGGACGGTGCCGATTGCGTCATTCTAGTGCTTAGGAATTATTTTTTTGTACGTGCCAGAGGATTCTTAATTTTTTTTGTATCAAATGGAATTGCTTATAATTTTGACTACTTCAAAGTTTCTTTACTTACACTCCAGTTTTTACCCTGTTTTGTGCATGCACAGGTGGTACACATTTGCAGACACCTGTATGCAAGTGACTTTATTCAGAAAAAATGAACATTACGCAGAATGTTAAAAAACTGGGGGTTTAGCTCACTGGTAGGGCGCTTTCCTCATAGGCCTGGGGACCTGAGTCTGTTCCCTAGTACCACCACAGAACAGAGAGGAAAGCAGGGGCGAGGGGGAGGGAGAACGATGGGGGAGAAGAGGGGAAAGTGAGACTTCGGGAGCGCTTTAAGTTGCACCTTTCAGGAACAGAAGGGAAAGGCGGTACCAGCTATCCCGAGGGTGCCCACCTCGTAAGCCAGCGTGTTCTGGGGGGGTGATCACATTGAGACAGCACCTGGGGTTGCTTTAGGGGTGGAGGCTGCACTTTGGAATATGAGTGAGGCAAGCTGAGGAGGGCAGTCTGGGGCAGCGTTCCGACTTGGTACAGCAGTGCGGCCGCTGAGACAGCCGCAGGGCGTCTCGGGAAGCCTGACGTGCAGATTGACTTGTAGGGCAAATTTGAGGCAATTTCAGCCTCAAAAGCTATGTTTTTCCTGTATGCACTTACAGTTTCATTTTAAACGCAGAAATCACACTTTGAAAACAACTAGTATAATTAAAAACTAATTTGTTTCATTGCAACAGGCATATTATAGGCCGAAACCATTTCCTCATCCATTGTTTCCCCTGCAGAGCTGGTGAAGCGCCATGCGGGCGTGCTGGGGCTCGGGGCGTGCGTGCTTTCGAGCCCCTATGACGTCCCCACCTGGATGCCTCAGCTCCTTATGAATCTCAGTGCCCATCTGAATGATCCTCAGCCCATTGAGGTACGGGTCTTCCTCGCTAACTTCCCTCCTGTAGAATCTCGGTGATGTTTCATAAGCTAGCACTCGTGTTTCTAATTTTCTGTGCATATAGATTTTATTGCTCTGCTAAAGTGGCCGATTCTGCCAGTGTCCCCTCACTCATCGACACCTTCCCCCAGCCGATGCACCAGGAGGGCACAGTGGGGGCCCATTGTGTGCCTTGTACCGTCAGTGGTACAAGTGGATCTGATCAAGTTGATCAGTCTTTTTCCTAATAAAATTTAAAAGTCTGTAAATGGCCTAAATCTAAATTATGTAAATTTAATTACTGTCCAAATATAAATATTAATTGGTACTGTTCATCTCAATTAAAAGGATTATAACGAATTTATTTCATTAAAAGATTTATTAATCATAAATGTTTTAAAAACATTTTATACAGAAAGGCGCACCAATTTGTACAGAATGTGCAAAAGTGTTATAACACTTCTTTTGGGTTTGTGGCCACAGCACACCTGTATTTTCTGGTAATTTTTGATAGCATTCTCTACATTGCTTGCATGCATTTCCTGCTCTTCCAAATAAGCTTTTGTAAAGTGAAATTTTTGAGTAATTTATACTCTGGCATTTCTGCATGAGTTAATAGTTTATCAAATAATTCTCTAAATTTTAACATGGAAATCTTATGAGTATCCCCGTTAAGTGTATATAATATGCATTTATAACCACTCTGGCGGGGGCAGGGGGATAGCTCAGAGGCTGTGCACCTACCTGGCAAGTGCAAAGACCTGTGCCAGACCCGCACTGAGCCACCGAGAAACCGGGTGTGGTGGCGCATGCCTGTAATGCCAATGTTGGGGAGGCTGAGACAAGAGGATCACTCTGAGTCCAAGCTGTGTAGCGAGACCCTGTACCAAATACACACCTACATACATAATCACTCTGGTGCAGGTTAGTTAAGATACAACTTTTTAAATACCCTTTAATGCTTTCCTTAAGAAACTGAAATACAGTGGGGTGTGGTCTGCTAACAGTGCCTTTCTTTGTGTTATCGTAATCAGACACACGCACACACACCCCTGAGGAGCGCACACACACACACACACACACACACACACCCTTGAGGAGTGCGCGTGCACACACACCCCTGAGGAGCGCGCGCGCACACACCCCCTTGAGGAGCGCGTGTGCACACACACCCCTGAGGAGCGAGCGCGCACACACACACCCTTGAGTGCGCGCGCACACACACAAACACACCCCTGAGGAGCACGCACGCACACAGACACACACACACCCCTGAGGAGCACGCGCGCACACAGACACACACACACACCCCTGAGGAGCACACGCACACGCACACACACCCCTGAGGAGCACACGCACACACACCCCTGAGGAGCGCACGCGCACACACACACACCCCCTTACCCCTGAGGAGCACGTGCACACAGACACACACACACACCCCTGAGGAGCAGCACCAGACATCCTGGACTGGTGGGATGGTTGGCTCAGGTCAGAGCTGCCTGGAGTGAGACAGTGGAGCACATGGTGCAAGCTTTTGCACACGTTGTTGTCCCGTATAGATGGTTTCTGTCCTTCCTAGCCGAGTGGAAGTAAGGGCTGCCAACATTGTCTGGGTGGTTAAATTTTATGCTTTTGTTTTTCTAAAATTTTGCATCTGAAAAGTAATAAGTAGGAAGTACTGATGATACTAATTTATTTTATTTTATTTATTTATTTTGGCGGAACTGGGGATTGAACTCAGGCCCTTGTGCTTGCTGGGGAAGTGCTTATTCCACTGAGCTATCTCCCTGGCCCAATACTAATTTAATAGTGAACGTCAGTATTCTAAGTTAAATGGTTCAGAAGACCAGTGACTCGGTGATTTTGACCTCTGTAGAGAGGTGCACGTGTGCATTCGAGCTGGTCTGATGATGCGGTGTAAGTCCCAGCGCTGCCAGCACAAAGCTGGTATTTGTTCAGAAGCTGGGCTGAAGAACACGAGGACCTCTTGGCCCTGGAGCCTTGTAGCTAAGTAGCTAGGGGACCCCAGTTGTTCGGAGAGACTGAAACCTTTGTGGGTTGCCTGCTCCACAGATGACTGTGAAGAAGACATTGTCCAACTTCCGAAGGACACACCATGACAACTGGCAGGAACACAAACAGCAGTTCACAGATGACCAGCTGCTCGTCCTCACGGATCTCCTTGTGTCCCCGTGCTATTATGCATAGGAGGGTAAGTTGCCCAAGTTGTAGAGCTGTGATGTCCTCAGGCAGGTGACTGAAAAGGGGCAGCCTAAAGATTTCGCCGACACCCTCACTGTGATTGCGCTGTTCACACACAGCCAGGGTGCTGTTCGTCTTTACCGCGGCTCCTGAAGCTGGGTGTGGAACTCGGGCAGTGTGTGCCTCACCTACATGAGGCCCTGGGTTCCCCCAGGGCCAGAACGAACAGGACCTTTGCATGGCCACTGGAAACAAGTGCCACAGCATGTTGTTGTGCCTGTTTGTTTTACTATTAAAAGTTGATGTAATTGCTTTAAAAATGATGTGTTAGTGGCCGTGACTAGTTGTTTCCTGGGTGGGTCTGGGCATTGGGGTTGCCTGAGCAGTTGGAGGTGTAAGAACTTCCATCTACCCATTCTTTAAAAGGGCCCAGAAGCCATGTAGTGAGGTAGGAATGATAAAACCTCAGTTTTTAGGTCTTTAGAGTTGAGTGTCTTGTTACCAAATAGAAATGTTTTCCTCCCTGGTGCAGACGGCCGGTCCTCAGCTCGGGCTCTTCTGGTCACGAATCCCAGCTCCTCAGGTACCATCTGTGGTGGCCTCTGCAGGGCGAGACGCTCTGCCTCTTCTGAGCGCTCTTCGATTTGGTGGTTTCTGTGTTGGGTCTCCGTGGTCTGCATTCACAGGTCCTCAGCTGCCATTTGTTTCTTAACTTGTCCCAAAGTGTTTCCAGAGTATTGATCACTCTTTGAAGCATCTGACAGAGGCTCAGACTACAAATAAATTTCCCGTATGATCATGGCATCCAAGACCAAGCAGAGTCTAGGAATTCATTCAGAAAATTTTCTTGGAGTGAAGAGTTCCCACCAGTTATACAGGTCCTGTCATTTCATTCATCTCAAGTTATTTTGGTTTCTTCCCCAATGACTATTGGGCTTAGACGGCAGTGGTCACGGGCCGAACACCCAATGCCTGAGAGCCACGAGGAGGAGAGGGCGGAAGCAGCCCAGCCCCGGGCCCAGCACGGCCGACAGACCCTCGGCTGCCTCTCAGCGTGGAGCCCTGTGCTCCCCACTGACCAGGTTTCTGGTGCTGAATAGAGCCAGCTGCTGAAGAACTGGGGGTTTGGTGAATTAATTTTTGATTGTTGTGTGTGCATACAATGTGTGATTTTTTTTTTTTTTTTTGAGAATAAATAACAGTAAACACCCTGGCTGATTGGTTTTTACCTGTATTCTTTACAAATATTGTTTGACCCTCTTTGAAAATGTTACACTTCACCAAAATGAACAACTGCTGTATTTGTGAAAATTCTGTAATTTGTTGCTTTTTATTTTATTATTTTTTAATTTTTTGCCTGCCGAATCGTTGAGAAACTAATAAGGCTTGGTATTTAATTGACTTGTTTACTATCTGTTACATAGATGTAAAAGACTGTATAAACTGTAGAGCTAGCTCAGCGAGATTGTACAGATAGGGCCCTTCACAGCTCCTTTGTGTAATTGATTTGTAAAGACTCACATGTAGCTCTTTATTACAGTGATTTGGGGCTTTTATACCCACTGAATGCCATTTTTGTGTTTCTAAATTATTTTCTTTATCATTTTATGTTTTAAAAGCTAAAACATGGGGGTTTTAGTTCTCTTGCCATTAGTGTCTGGATTCTATGTAGCTTTCTGTGTGCGTCTCTAAGTGCTCACACGTCTGCCCGTGGCAGATCTATAGGATGCAAGCTTATCTGCTAGGCTGAGGTAACTTACAGGTTGGCAAATGTCGTCTTGCAACAGCCCTGTGCAGTCTCCCGTGCAGGGGCGCGTGGTGGCTGCGGAGGCCTGGGCCGCGGCGTCTGAGCTCGTGGCGGAGCCCTGTGCAGCGCAGTGCCAAATGGACGATTTCACTTGTGTAACTAGTTTAAAGCCCAATAAAAGGATTGTTTTTAACCCCTGGCTTTTGTCTTCATTAAGAGGAGATGGCAGCTCTGTGGGCAGAGACCCCTGTGGGTTGTCTAGGCTTGAGTCTGTAAGTCATTCTCTCTGACCAGAACTAATTATTTCAGTCTGCCCTGTTCCCTGCAGGAGCTGCCATTTTGGGGGTGTTTTGTTTTGGAGGGTTTTGGTCTCTTTGAGATAGGGTCTTGCCCTGTGGTTGGGCTCGTGTTGAGCTCACTGTGTGTCCCCGGCTGGATGGCGACCTTCCTGCCTCAGCCCCTGAGTGCTGAGAGCACAGTTGTGCACTGCCACAGCCAATGTGACCATTCTCATTTAATGAAAGAAGAGGTTCGCGTCAGCCACGCATGCACAGTGGCTGCCCTGTCGGTGGCGCACGTGAGCTTTCCCTGGGGAAAGGGACACTCCTGGGGTTAACGCTGACTGAGGCCGTGGCTTTTCAGAGCGGTGGACCTAAGAATTGGAGATTGTGTTAGTGCGGGTTCTTGCCTTCTGCAGTTCACGGGTCAGTGTCTGGTCCGGAGACCACACTGCGGGGTGCCGAGGCCTTGTGCTGCGCCACGGCTCCGCGGTTGTGAAACTGCCTTAGCAATGGTCTGTTAGTGGGAGCTTCAGGTATGTAAGACACTCGTGCCTCCTGTGCTCCCTCCCTCCCTCCCTCCCTCCTCAGGGTGGGGCTTGGGCACTGTCATCTTAACTGGTGCTCTGTGAGGGTCAGTTACGCAGCCAGGACAGCAGCACTGTGGAGACCGAGACCCACCGTGGGCCCAGGAACAGGTCGCGGGTGCACACTGAGCGTGCCTCCCTGTGGCTGAGGCCGTCTGGGGGTGCTGTTACCTTGCTGTCCCCCACATGGGTGGTCCATCTAGCAATGAAAAACTTGCGTCAGCGGCCTCAGGAATGAAAGGAGAGGAGTGACTTGGGTTGTGACTGCCTTTCCTGTGGCCAGATGGTTGAATGAGTTGCATTTTGGCAATATAATTTATATGGTCATAATTTTGATACGAATTTTTACTCTGAAAGCTAATTCTGCAATATTAATGGATCTTTTTTCTGCAGGTGGTTTATAACACCTAAGGGCACCGTTACTAATAATGTGTATATGTATTAGAATTGCTGTGTTTGGGCTGGGAAGGTAGCTCAGCGGTCTAAGCACCTGCCTGGCAAGCACAGGGGCCGGGTTCCGTCCCCAGCCCTGCACGCCACGCCAAGCCTGGAACCCCAGGTGTGCCGTGCCAGTCGCTGAAAGTAGGCCTGGTGGTGCATGCCTGTAATCTCAGTGCTGGGGAGGAGGCTGAGACAGGAGGGGGAGTCCACGCTGTGTAGTGAGACCCAATACCAAATAAAAAATTGTAAATAATTTAAATGGACTTGCTGCTGTGTGTCAGGAATTGGAGCAGGGGTGTTCCTGAGGAAACTGAAAAACACTGCTGATGTTATTTCTGAATGGAACCCTGCTGGCATAGTCTGTACCAAGTACTTGCTTTGCAGACCGAGCTGCTAAAGAGCAAGTTTACGCATCAGCTACTCAGTACTTGGCTGTTCTCATAAGAACCCGTCAGGCTGGAGGTGGCACATGCCCACGCTCTTCCTCAAAGGGTGATGGGACGCTGCCCTGGGCTGAGGGCGGGGGTAGCTTGCTTTGTGCTGGGACAGGCCCACTCTTGCATGTGTCACCAAGGGTCAGCGTGACCCTGGACAGTGAGGTGGCCGCTGGGTCCTGGCTGCGACGAGCCGGGTGGTGAGCTTGGCCACTGGGCCAGCGCTGCTGAGGCCGTTCCAGGTTTCTCATCACTTTGCTTCTCTCCCTGGTAAGTGTCCCCCGTAGGCCTTTTGGTGAATTCACAAATATCCCAACACGCGTGCAAGTTCTGTCAGACTGGGTTTTGGGATTTTTTTGTTATTTTTTATGTATTTGGTACAGAGTCTCACTAGGCAGCTCAGACTCTCGATCCTCCTGTTGCAGCCTCCTTAGAGCTGGGATTACGGTTGTGCGCCATCATGTATGGTCTGTAGTCGGTTCAGTGCGCCTGAGGGCCCCGCCAGCTCGGCATGTGGTGCCTGGGATTGAAACTGATCTGGTCAGATTGGATATTTTTTTATTTTTATATTTTTTTTCTTGGAACCGGGGATTGAACTCAGGCCCTTGGGCTTGCCAGGGAAGCACTTACTCTACTGAGCCATTTCCCCGGCCCCTAGATTGGGTATTAAAGGTCTCATTTGTAAACACTGTCACAGAGCCCACTGGCAATGGAACTGCCAGGGCCACAGGCATGCGAGGCAACCAACCCTCTCCCACTGGACTAGGTCTAGTCCCTAAACTAGTTTTGCTCCTTGTAAATTTCAAGTATAATTCCAAACACGTTTTATCACTTTGATTTTTACAAGTGGCATCCTGTACAGTGTTTCTCCCAAAGGGAGATACACAGCCAAGAAACCTCAAGCTTGGGAGAGAAACACTAGGAAATAGATTTTTCCAGGTGTTACGCTGTGCCTGGAAGTCCCCCAAAGCCCCATGTGGCCATTTCCCGAGGTGGCTGGATCTAGTGTGTGCGAGGCTGTTGCGGTTTGTGTCTAGGTGTCCCCCAAAGCCTCGTGCAGTGAGTTTGTGGTTAATTCACGAGCCAGTGCAGGGATTATGGGTGTGAGCCTGCCCAGCCTGACCAGCCGCCGCTGCTGCTCCCGTTTGCTCTTACTGCTCGCTGTTTTCGTCTGCCGGTGCGCGCTGCCTTGGAGCCAGCTGAGTCTGGACTGAGACCTCCAGTAGCTGAGCTAAATAAACCTTTCCTTGCTTCATTTTGGGTGTCAGCTATTTGTCCCAGCAACAAGTGAAGAGTAGCCGAGACAGACGCCGAGGTCGGGGCTGCTCCGCTGGGCCTGCCGGGGCCCTGTGCGGGCCGTGGGGAGGCCCGCCCTGGTGTGCGTGCTGCCTGCCCGGGAGGCGGCCTGGAGGAAGCCAGGCCAGGAAGAGGCTGCAGGGACCGGCGCCCGCCTGCCTCCTTCCTTGGAGCTGGCGACTCGGGACCGCAGCCGCGACAGGCCCTCCCTCCTCTAGCTGTGAGTATCCGCGTGTTGCCGAGACCCCCTCCGCCCCGCCCCGCCCCCGGTCCAGCTAGGCCTCTCCCAACTCGCGAGGGGCCTGGCCACTTCCCGCCTGCACGGAGCCCGCGGCCACGAGCCACGGGCCTGGCTGGAGTGTGGCCTCCGATTTCCGGTGCCCCTCACAGAAGCGTCTGTGAAAGACACAGCCGCACACCCTCGATCAGACTGGGGCGACAGGGCTCTGCGCTCTCCCCGGTGGTGCTGCAGACTTGCTCGAGGCCAGCGTCTAGGGCTGCGTGGCCGCTGCCCGGACAGGCGGCGCGGCCCTTTCTGTTTACTAGGCATAGCTAACAAGTTCTTGTTTTTGTAAAATAAGGTCCTGGTGCTTGTCCCCTTCTGTCAGCCGAGAGTTGAGGCTCGGACCTGCGGGAGGACGCGCGTCCCCAGGACGGTGCGCCGCTGACCCCACGTGCCGCAGCTGCCCTGCAGGGCCCACCGCGGGGCGCAGCACTGTGGCCCGGCTGGACCGCCTCGCGGGTGACAGGTGCATCCCGGCGCTGTCAGGAGGTGGGCGCTGTAGGGAAGGGCCTCCTTTCTCACACTGACTGATAGGAAAGTTTCTGAGCTACTGGCTCATCCAAGTTTAAGCATTCAAGCGGGCATGGTGGCGCATGCCCGTGATCCCAACACGCAGGAGGATCACTGAGAGTTGAAGACCGGCCTGGGCTACAGAGCGAGCTCAAGGCCAGCCTGGACTGCATGTGAGATCCTGTCTCAAAAAGACAAAAAAAAAAAAAGCTTAAAAATTGAATTAAAAGGGCCGGGGAGATGGCTCAGTGCAATATGTACTTCCCTGGCAAGCGCAGGAGTCTTGAGTTCAATCCCCGGTTCTGCGCCCCCCCAAAAAAGAAATTGAATTAAAGATTTGGCAAAGATGTTCTTTTGTCTAAAGTGTTAGTGTCTTGATTTCCTTTAGAGAAACTTGACATTTTAAGATTGTCCTGTTTTGCTTGGTGCCTGAGACAGAACCTGGAGCCGCCGGCGTGCCGCGCATGCGCTCTGCCAGGAGCTGCGCCCTCGGCTCTGGCTAGATTTTCTTTTTAGGTATGATTTTTGCTAGGGTGTTATTTTTATAAGAATATAAAATTTGTACTGTAGAGATAGCTCAGCAGTCTACATGGCTGTGCAGGCAAGTGCAGGTTCAATCCCAGGTGCCGAAAGCCGTCCAGTCCGCCCTAGGCCCGCCTAAGCTGGCCACCGAGTCCGGCCGTGGTGGCACATGCTGTAATCCCAGCGCTGGGGAGGCTAACGGCAGGAGGATCACTACAAGTCCGAGCTGCATGGTGAGACCCTATGCCAAATACATAACATTTTAAAAAAGAATATAAAATTTGATTATTTGAACTACTGAAATAATTCACTTTTTTGGTAGCAGACTGATTTGAACAAGTAATATTGTTGATCAGAAACCCAGAACTGTATTTCCATGCTTGGAAACTAGGTATTTTTCCTTCATAAGACAGGCAACTAAGGATGTTGGAGTACTGGACTATTATTGTGTCAACCCCCCTCTGCTCCCCTCCTCCTGCCCTCCGCTCCCTCCTCTCCTCATCCCCCTCTCCTCGCTCCCCTCCTCCCTTCCTCTGCGCTTTTCCCCTCCTCTTCCTCCCTCCCCTGCCCCCTTCCTTCCCCTGTAGTTCTGGGGATTGAACAGGGCCTTGTGCTTTCGGTAAGTGTTGCTCAACTGAGGTAGATCCCTAGTCATTCTTATTTTGTGTCAGTTATATAATTAGCTTATTGAAGGACAGACGTGTTTGCTTGTTACAGTTTTGGCCCGCGAGGCTCCCAGCCCAGCTGCCTCCTACACCCCGGGAGTGGTGCTGAGCACACGGTGCACCGCGGGCATGGGCGCTGCCGTGACGCACCAGCAGCCCTTACTCTTGCTACAAAGG